TTTTTTTTCCTGAGACAGAGTCTTACTCTGTTGCCCAGGCTGGAGTGCACTGGCACAATCCTAGCTCACTGCAGCCTCAACCTCCCAGGATCAAGTGATCGATCCTCCCACCCTAGCCTTCCAAAGTGCTGGGATTGCAGGCATGAGCCACTGGGCCCAGCTCAAGCTCATCTTAGACCCCACTTCTTCTTATGACCCACAGACTCAAGTCGCACCCATCCCTGTGGCCCTGCCTCTCCCACAAGCTCCACCTCCGTGTGCCTGGCCCCTAACAGCCCACCCTCAGGCCCGCCCCCTGTAAGCCCCGCCCTGGGGCGTGGCCACTCACTGCACTCCTCCTCATCGCTGCCATCGCTGCAGTCGAAGTCCCTGTCACAGCGCCAGGTGAGGGGCACGCATAAGCCACTGGTGCGGCACTGGAACTTGGTGGGTGGGCACGAGCCTGAGCTGGGGCCTGCGAGACGGATGCAAATGAAGCCTGGGAAGCTGGAGGCTGGACCCTCCTCCAAGAGCACAGCAGCCACTGGCTGTGACCCGCAGGAGATGGGTGAAGTCCTGGGATGTAGGAACCACACTGGCGGCTGCTTGTTACTGAGCCCCTAGTACAAGTGCGGTTCAGAGTGTGGCAGTTCCTGGGCTCACCAAGAGCCCCACCGGGCAGGTGCTACTGCACTCCCCAGATTACAGATAAAGGAACTAAGAGGAGGCTACAGAGCTGGTGGCAGAGGCTGGGTGCGGTGGCTCATGCCTGTAATCTCAGCACTTTGGGAGGCCGAAGCAGGTGGATCACTTGAGGTCACTGAGACCAGCCTGGCCTACATGGTGAAACCCCATCTCTATTAAAAATACAAAAATTAGCTGGGCGTGGTGGTGCGTGCACTGTAATGCCAGCTACTCGGGAGGCTGAAGCATGAGAATTGCTTAAACCTGGGAGATAGAGGTTGCAACGAGCCGAAATCATACCGCTGCACTCCAGCCTGGGCGACAGAGCGAGACTCCATCGCCACAAAAAAAAAAAAAAAAAAGAGCTGGTGGTGGAGTTGGGGTTCGAACTCAGGTCTCACTGATCCCAGAGTTTTCACCAGGCTCCTTACAGCGAGATGATCTACCCGGGAGAACTCCAAACTCAGTGGTTAAAGAGACTGGGGGACGGGCCATTTTTCCACATGCCCTGGGTCAAGCTCACGGGCTCAGGTTAGCAGGGAGGGTGTATCTCCTCTAGGTAGCAAAAGGGAAACTGAGGCACTGGGTAGAAAACCTGCTCAGTCACCAAGTCCTGTTGCCTCGCCTCCTGAATTGCTCCCAGACCTATCACTTTCCCCATCCTAAATGTGTCAGCTCCTCACCAGAGCCCCAGGCCCCAAGGTCCATTAGGACACCAGAGAGCTGCCCTTCCTGCTCTCCTCTCTACACCCTGTGTTTTCCCCTCAATTTTCAGATCTCAGCTGATTTCCTGGGACGGTTCTCAAGTCCCTCTCAGAGACCTAGGAAGCACTGCCTCCCACGTCTGACAACTGTCCTCAAAGCCCTGGTCATGCCTGTCCACCCACAGACTGGACAGTCCGTGGAGGTCAGGGCTGTGACCTGGCTGCCTAAACCCAGGGCAGTGCCTGATCATAAGTGGACACAGGTCACATAAGGGTTCAAGCTGGGTCCAGAGAAGATCCAGGCTGTCCTAGATTCTGAGCAGGGAAGCTTAGCTGTTTGCCGACCTGGAGAGGCACAGAGGGGCCTGGAACCTGGGTCAAGGAATAGAGGAAGGGAGTGGCCTTCAAGGTTTCCTCCTGGGTGCGGCCAGGGGAGGTGGCAATTCTGCCACCCGGCTTGGCTTCACTCTGCCAGGGCGTTTAACCTCTTCCACCTTTACCCACCAGCCATGAGCCTCCAACCCCCCACTGCCCACAGTCAGCCCCTCCCCGGCCATCAGGCCCAATTGCACCTGCTTGCCACACGGTCCCTGAGCTCTGTGGAGCCCAGAAGAGCTGTGGACAAACCAGAGCCAGCTTCCTTCCCTGCCCCCAAGGGGTCTGGCAGCCTCCAGGTGTGGCTCTCTACCCAGGCCCAGACTTCCACAGCCCTGACACCTCTGACCTCCCTTCACTGGCCTGCTGGAGTGTGTGTCCCTCTGCAAAGTGGACAGCAGAGCACAGCAGTCCCCGCCTCATAGGGTGGTAAGCCTGACAGGAGTTAGAGTGACCAGTGACTTTCCCTCCTGGCCTCAGTTTTCTCACATGTAAAAGGGGTATGCTGGGAATCCCTACCTCAACATCCTGAGGACAAAGAGACTGTGTGTAGAGTTTTGTCCTGCAATCCCAGCACTTTGGGAGGCTGAGGCAGGCGGAACACTTGAGGTCAGGAGTTCGAGACCAGCCTGGCCAACATGGTGAAACCCCATCTCTACTAAAAATACAAAAAACTAGCCGGGCGAGGTGGCGGGCGCCCGTAGTCCCAGCTACTCGGGAGGCTGAGGCAGGAGAACGGCGTAAACCTGGGAGGCGGAGCTTGCAGTGAGCCGAGATCACGCCACTGCACTCCAGCCTGGGCGACAGAGCGAGACTCCGTCTCAAAAAAATAAATAAATAAAAAATAATAATAATAATAATTAAAACAGGGTGAGTCCGAGACCATCCCAGGACACCTGGCTTCCACTGCACTGAGGAGGAAGCCACAGTGGGCGGGGGTCCCCAGACCTGGCAATGGGAAGGCACTGCCCAAGCTCTGCTCTTCTTCCAAGAATCCTGATGTTAACGCAGACTCCCCACCCCAGCCTTGCTGCCCCTGCTCCCAAAAAGCAAGAAGCACAGTAGCTGCACCCAGGGCTGGGTCTCCACATCCCACCTTCTCTGGGCTGGGCTCTCATGGAGGAGGGGCTGCAGCAGAGACCCCGGGCTGCCCAGGCCGAGACAGACAGAGACTCAGAGGCAGGCGGAGGATGTGAAGCAACTTTAATCGCCACCCTCAGACAGGGCAGCAGGAGTGTCTCAAGCACGGGGCCATTCCACCCCCTGGGAGCTGCCTGGGGCCAGCCCCTCAGTTCTGGCTGTAGCATGTTCCCCATCCTGGCTCCCCGGGTCTCCATAGGGAGTGTCCAGGGACCCTCAGTCTCCAGGGCCACTTCTGCAGGAGCTCGGGTTCGAGGTTCCACATGGCCAGAAGAACTCAGGTCTCTGAGGGCTGATGTGCCTGTGTACCCATCCGCATCACTGCTCTCCTCCTGCCCGGCTGTGCCCAGGGCTGGGTGACGGTGCTGGCAAGTGCTTGTCCTCAGGGCAGCGAGGTGTTCCGTTCTGACAGCAGCAGGGACTCCTTCATGGCCACCAGTAGCCCCAGCGGGCGGAGGCGCTCCTGGGCTCGGAGCCAGGACAAAAGGAGGAGGGTGGCGGCGACCAGGCTTGCACTGAGCACCGCTGTGGGGAACAGATGGACAGAGGTATAGGAAGGGGGAAGGCGAGAGCCCCCACACCCACCAAGCTCGGCACACACGGGGATGGGAGTTCTGCAGCTCATCCCTCCCCACCCACCTCCCCTGAATCCCGGAGCTCTAAGCCCCCAGCGTGGGAGGGTGAGTCCATCTTACCAGCAGCTGCAATAACCCCATAGACACCTGAGCTTCCAGACTGGTCCCCAGCAGAGGAGGACGTGACATTCCCGACAGAGGTGACACTCTCCGGGGTCACAGGGGGCCCCGTGGTTGTGGCATCCCCTTTCAGGAGGGTCTCGTTGGTTCCTGCAATAAGCCCAGGCGTTCAGTAGCTGAGGAGAGAGCACTGAAGGCATGAGGGGGCCAGGTGCCCAGCGGAGCCCTTGGGGTTTATCCTCCAACCAACGCAGGCTGGGTGAAGTTGACTGCTGCCTGTAATCATGTCTTTTTGTTTTGTTTTGTTTGGAGAAGGAGTCTGGCTCTGTCACCCAGGCTGGAGTGCAGCGGCACAGTATCGGCTCACTGCAACCTCCGCCTCCTGAGTTCAAACGATTCTCCTGTCTCAGCCTCCCCAGTAGCTGGGATTATAGGCGCGTGCCACCACATCTGGCTAACTTGTATTTTTAGCAGAGATGGGAGTTCGTCACGTTGGCCAGAGTGGTCTCAAACACCTCACCTCAGGTGATCCGCCTGCCTCGGCCTCCCGAAGTGCTGGGATTACAGGGGTGAGCCACCGCGCCCGGCCTTTTTTTTTTTTTCTTTTTTTGAGATGGAGTTTCGCTGTCACCCATACTGGTGTGCAGTAGCACAATCTCAGCTCACTGCAACCTCCGCCTTCCAGATTCAAGTGATTCTCCAGCCTCAGCTTCCTGAGTAGCTTGGATTACAGGTGTGTGCCACCACGCCCAGCTAATTTTTTTGTATTTTTAGTAGAGATGAGGTGTCGCAATGTCGGACAGGCTGGTCTCGAAATCCTGACCTCAAATGATCTGCCCGCCTTGGCCTCCCAAAGTGCTGGGATTACAGGCATGAGCCACCACGACCGGCCCCTAATGATGTCTTGCCGCCCCTACAGGGATGCAGGCACAGGCAAAGGCATGTATCCACGCCCCCAGCCTGGCCACGCCCCAGCAGGCAGCGGGTGTGCCCATCTACCCACCAGTCCACCCCACCCCCGCAGGTGCGTACCACAGCCGAGCTCATCGCTGGAGTCGGGACAGTCTGGGTGGCCGTCGCAGCGCCACGTGAGTGGAATGCAGTCATCGCTCAGCGTGCAACGGAGCTCGCCTGCTGGGCAGGCCGGGCGGCTGCAGTTGCGCAGTTTCTTGTCGGTTCTCCCGGAGCAGTCGCTGACGCCCGTGCAGGGGCAGGGGAGGCCAGGGGGCGGTGGGCATTGCCCGTTCTGGGTACACGGCTCAATCCCTGGGGCACAGGGTTGATCAGGTCCCAAATGCCCACCCAAGAAGGCCCAGGTACTCCCTGCAACCCCGTCCCCTGCAAGCCCCACCCTCTAGGAACAGCTGAGCCCAAAAAATGCTCCCTTCCTAAGGCTCCGCCCCCTGCAACTGTTAACTCCACCCTCTAAGGACAGGCCTCCCTGCAAGTTCTTCCCCCAAGACCCCACTAGCTCTACCTTCCTACAAGCCCACTTTATTCTTTTTGTTTGTTTGTTTGTTTCTTCTGAGACGGAGTCTCGGAGTCTCGCTCTGTCGCCCAAGCTGGAGTGCAGTGGCCGGATCTCAGCTCACTGCAAGCTCCGCCCCCCGGGTTTAGGCCATTCTCCTGTCTCAGCCTCCCAAGTAGCTGGGACTACAGGCACTCACCACCTTGCCCAGCTAGTTTTTTGTATTTTTTAGTAGAGATGGGGTTTCACCGGGTTAGCCAGGATGGTCTTGATCTCCTGACCTCGTGATCCGCCCGTCTCAGCCTCCCAAAGTGCTGGGATTACAGGCTTGAG